ATATATTTTTTCAGAGTGATTAGCAGCAGCACTTACATTAGCAGTTCAGGTGGGGACTCAGACTGGGTATTACATTGGTTATAATTGCTCTATCATGTTTTAAGGTATGTATATGAGATATCCACTTTGGGTGGAGGCGCGAGGCCTTAATTGCCCATCAGAGTGTGCACATGGCGGACATAGTGTCCGAGGAGGTTCAGTTCAGTTACAGACCTTGTGTCTGGAGTTTATAGTTTACTTATATATACCTATAGTCATGATATTGATATTATTATTGATGTTTACTTTAGTATGAGTTTCTGCGGAGTACAGTGTTTTAGTACTCACGCTCCCACTATTATGATCCCTTTTCAGGTGACAGGGTCGGTCCGGAGGAGTGAGCGGAGCGGGTGGTCGCCAGTGCTGTATATATGTAATTATGATTTTGTAGACTTATTATATGTATATTATTTTACACGTTTTTACTTCCGCTGACTTTTCTAGATTTTGAAGTTAGCGTGTAAATTTTCAGACTACGATCCGAGTCTTCGGGTCAGACTTCACACGATATCACACGCTTGTTTTATAAACGACTTTTTAGAAAGGTAATGTTTTATGTAGCATCCCGAGATATGTTTCGCAAACTTAAAAAGTAAATTTTTGAAAAGAAATTGCGAAAATCGCACTCTGATTTTAGTAAGCTAGCGGGGTGTTACAAATTGGTATCAGAGCACATTTTTGTGTATCTGAATACTTTTTAAGTCAGAAATTTTCAGAAAAGACCCGACCACGCTACGCTCACGACTCGCCGACTATCAGGTAAGTGCTGAGTTTCAGTTTATATATATTTAAACGAATATTTAAGTCTATGCTCAGTAAAGGGTACCAGAGTAGTGACCCTAGAAACCAGTAAGATGCTCGAGTATTTTCAGAACATAGTTGATTGTCCCAGTTACTTGATAGTTCGACTTTAGTATTCTCGGGTTATTTAGCGACTCGTCAAGAAAGTTGTGTACCTAAACAGTTAATCATTTAATCCTTTATGTTATTAATCATGTTAAACATTTCAATATTCAAATGCCTCCTCATAGAGATCCAGCACACCAGGAACGCTCCCAGGCCACTGTAGTCGCACAGTTTCGCGACTACCAACCAGAAAAGTTTTCCGGCCGAGGAGATCCTCGTATAGTAGATGAATGGATCCAGGGCCTCGAGATGATTTTCGAGGTCATGGACTGCCCTGATCGTTACCGTAT